TTTCTTCAAGAAAATAGTTTTTGGCGCTCACTGCTTGAATACGAAAAGAATTCTCTCTTAATGCAAACAATGACTGAGATCAATATGGACTGAGAATGGATTCTTTTGCCAAGCAACTCTTTAACATTATCATCTTAGTTCTTCAAAAGTCCTTTTCACAGTTCCCTGCGCCATCTTGAAAGGTAGCCGTGCCTTTGCATCGAAGCGAGACGAACGGTGAGTTTGCAATGAGAGAGACATGTGAATAACTGTCCAAGGTGTTAAAATATATAAAGGTCTTTATCACTGCAAGCTCACCGCTCGTCTCCCTTCGATGCAAAGGCACGACTACCTTTCAAGATGGCACAGGGAACTGTGAAAAGGACTATTGATATATAATGTGTTGTATATTGTTGCTAGGAAACGCCCATATCCAGTTTTTAGAGCCGCAAGAGCGAGTTTGGGCTGGTCTTTCCAACGGTAAATCTGTTATAATATCCACCCCTATAAATTGTGCTTGCAAACACGCCTAGATTTCAAAACTGATACACATTATTCAGTAGCAGAGGTCTTGGCAGTCATATTGGTCCATGACAAAAATGATTTTTAAAATGAGCGTTCTTCTATAAGCATCCGCATTTTAGATTCAATCAATAGACCAGTTCGAGTTCCAAATAATTACCGCTGTGTTTCTTGATTACAGACTCATTTACACATCATTAGCCTTGTATCAGTGACTAAATATTCACAAATACCAACGGCAAAATAAATAATGCACAACTTCAACAATACAATGAACACTTTGAAATTTCACGGACCTTCACTGGAACACATAGATATTATTATATATTCTGCACAAAATTGAGGCAAACCATGAGCAACATGGAGTATTTTATCAAAAACCTTGCTTCGCCTCATTCAGTCATTGTCAAAACCTACATCTTGCTTCCCTAAACCCTTCACCTTCGAAGTACACTATGCATACAGTGTCACGAGTTGTCTAAAATCTGATATGACGAGTAAGTAAGCTTTATTAAGGAATATCAATGCAGGTATTTAAAAAAATCCTATCTTTTTCTAGCGAGAATATCGATAACATAAGAAATCATTAGATATGAAAACTCGCAAAACAAGCATTAGAAAACCAATCTCTTTTTCTAGCAAGAATATAAATCACAAACTGAACACCAAAACAGGCATTAGAAACTAGCAAGAATCCCGCTGGGGGGGGGGGGGGGGTACCTGAGTCCTGTCCGCGTGGGCATAAGAACTAATAATTTTCAACCCCTGCAAGAGGTACCAATAGACCTTATTCGTTGTGTGACAATGTTTTCCCAATTCAGCGTGACAAACCTCTGGGGGAATGAAGAGCTATTGTTTTAAAACTCGTCGGGATATCATCGTTATTCCTTTCGTATCCTTTGAGATACTCATTAATTTTTCGAAGAGTAAAAACAAAAGAAAATGAATCATCTGGAGGTTCGTCACGCTGAATTGGGAAACCATTGTCACACCACGAATAAGGTCTATTACCTATGATCTTAATGACAGAGATATCTCGAAATAAACATCCAGTAAAAGTACAAAAAAAAAAAAAAAAAGTCAGATGTCATCATATACAAATCTTCCAAAGAGGAACTGGCTTAGTCTCCCTCGCTGCCGCAAGAAAGCGTCGCGTATAAACGACACTATAATAGCAGCTGCGAGGGAGATTTAGATTTTAGATTTGTGTCACCCTAAGAGGTACTAAATTGCAGATCTTGAACCCTAAGAGGTACGACAAGCATCCCCGCCTTTCTATATATAGGACTGCCACCCTCTCCCCTCTCACGTCTCCCCTCTCCCCAAGAATATAGAACACATAAACTGAACACCGAAATGACTCCATTACAAACTCCTTAATCGATAATCTTCTTAATTCGTGGATTAGGTCGTCGTTATCCTGTTATTCACAGCGGTGACCGTATCGCTCTACGAGTGATGTACAGTAGCTACTCGACCAGGTGGATAAGATGCTACTCAAGCTACTGCTATTATTCATCATGTCCTGGAGACAAGGTATTGTCATTTCAAATTTTATGAATACTTTAAGCGTTCAATTTTTCAAAAAACAACTCTATGAAAAACTGTTAACTTGCTGGTTGACCACTTTAAATAGCGGTCCCGTCTCTCCATACTTCATCGTTACTTAACCTACATCGGAGGGACGTAAAAGAACCACTGTTGACGTAAAGAAAACCCTGGCAGTGACCACCCTCAGTGCCTACACCAACCCGATAGCAATCTGACCTTTACAACTCATGTAAAGCGCCTTTGATTATATCTATATAGAAATGGGGCTATATAAATCATTATCATTTATTTTATCATTTGTATAATATGACTTCAGGAACTTAAAGTGGAGACACGTATTTCTTGTCCGTTGGTTTAAGCAAAGGGAGGTTTTTCTATAGATAGACTAGAGTTTGAAATATCTTGACTCTTTTTCAGATAATGCCCTCCACCAAATGGTCCTCCTGTACGTATGAGCAGTTCTACATCCGGGGAGTCAACAAGAATGACGGACAGACGATCCTCAGCGGAGATTACGTCACACTTGC